CGAGCAGGGTGTGTCAAACCATCATTTGTAATGGTAAGGAACGAGCAGGGTATGTCAAACCATCGTTTTTAATGGTAACGAACGAGCAGGGTATGTCAAACCATCGTTTGTAATGGTAAGGGACGAGCAGGGTGTGTCAAACCATCGTTTGTAGTGGTAACAAAACGAGCAGGGTGTGTCAAACCATCATTTGTAATGGTAAGGAACGAGCAGGGTATGTCAAACCATCGTTTTTAATGGTAACGAACGAGCAGGGTATGTCAAACCATCGTTTGTAATAGTGACGAACGAGCAGGGTGTGTCAAACCATCGTTTGTAATGGTAACGAACGAGCAGGGTGTGTCAAACCATCGTTTGTAATGGTAACGAACGAACAGGGTGTGTCAAACTATCGTTTGTAATGGTAACGAACGAGCAGGGTATGTCAAACCATCGTTTGTAATAGTGACGAACGAGCAGGGTGTGTCAAACCATCGTTTGTAATGGTAACGAACGAGCAGGGTATGTCAAACCATCGTTTGTAATAGTAACGAACAAGCAGAGTATGTCAAACCATCGTTTGTAATGGTAATGAATGAGCAGGGTAATCCCAACTCATGAAGAAAATGTGCTGAAAGATTATTTTCTGTGCTCATAACTAGCTTGAAAGTTACATTGATTAAAACATCTGTATAACTATTTTTAAAGGATGTACAGTGTATGCATGGAGATAAAATTGGTTTGTGTGACTGTCCCCCATATTCATATAGCACACTACTGCTTTCTTTCTGGCAATGACATTAGCATCAATCTGTTAGGTTGTCAATAAATTAATGTCCCTTTTTTCAGATGAAAAAACCTGAACAACTTATATATCAAAACAAAACATTTAGTAAATTAAAGTCTCCATTCTTATCAATGATGCTTTTCCATCTTAGAATCAGGTTGTTAATGCCTTGATTAAAGAAATTACTTGGCTTTGAAGCATAAAAACATGTCGATGTCCTCTTTAACATTTTCCACATTTGCATACATTTTCCCATTAAGAGGGTTTTGCAGTGAACGAAAAAGATGGTAATCTGATGGTGCCATATCTGGAAAATATGGTGGGTGGGGGAGAACTTCCCAACTCCATAATCTTGTGTTGTGTCAAATGTGCCACGTGTGGACGTGCATTGTCGTGGAGAAGAAGAACACCTTTCCAAATGAAGGTCATTTTTTATCATAAAGGGCTTGATTTAAACGTTCCAGTTGCTGACTATAGATCTCTGCATTAACAGTTTGCTGTGGATTGAGGAGTTTGAATTGAATTACTCCTTTGATGTCCCACCAAATGCAAAGTATCACTTTCTGTGGATGGAGTCCAGGTTGTGGTCGGCAGTGGTTTGTATCTAGGACTGAACCATTGTTTTTGGCATTTAATATTCACATAGATCAGGGGTCTCTAAACTACGGCCCATGACTTTGGTTTATGCGGCCCGCCAACACTTTATTAAAGTCATAATATAATTTTTTAATATTTAAAAAACAAAAAATAAAACATAATTGAGCAAAGGCCAATCTGATCATGTATGCATCCCTATGTAATTTTACCATGACTCCTCTGGCCCATGAAACCTAAAAAGATCTACCTCCCAGCCCTTGTCCAAAAAGGTTTGGAGACCCCTGACATAGGGAATCCATTTTTCATCACTGGTGACAATTCTGTCCAAAAATAGTTCACGCGCATTATGCACCAGAAGAGACAAAGCAACGTTCACACATTGGAAATGATAATCGGAGAGTTCGTAAGGCACCCAAACACCTTCTTTATGGAGTTTCCCAAACACCATCTTCAGAACATCAATATAAAATCCAACATGTCGGCCCCTGCCATCACAGTTTTTAAGGCTAAAGTTACCTGAACAAAATTTTCTAAACCATCGTTGACACTTGCGAACATTCAAAACATTTCCATAAATGTCTTTCATATTCTTTGTGGTGACAGAGGCATTGTTTTCCTTCTTGTATTCAAACAGCATTACATGCCAAATGTGTGTCTTGTTATGTGCCATCACTGTAAGGGATTAGAGTATACTAAACTTTACACATTATACAGGCTATACTGACATGACGTTTAGGCAACATTAATTTCATGACGACCTAATATTTCATCATTGGCTCTATCCCATGTGGGTGCTTTAGAAGAAGTGCATCTCTGATATCTACCAGATGGTGCTTAGTTATGTGAAACAAACAAACACTCAAGTGGTATTGTGTGGATTCACTAGGAAGTCCAGTCACAAAATTATTTACCAGAATATCTTCTCAGTCAGCTTCTAAGGGTTAAAGTTAACACTCTAAGTGTTACAGCCCATTGGTTTCCACACCTACATTCCTATTCTTCCTAGTAGATGGCTTTATTCTCTACCAGGTCAAAATGTTAATGCAGCTTTATTATAATACCCAGCTTCAGAGTTGAGTTGGCTCCAGATATTCCATGATATCAAGTGCCAGACCATCACATGCACCATCAATGAATACTGGATTCAGGAATTCCATTAGGCAAACTGTCCCATAGAGCACTATCTTTTTCAGACGTTCACTGAAGGAACAAATTTCACCTCAGTACTTCGTGCTTGGTGTAGCAAAGGCAGATAACCATTATTAGTACCATTTGGTACGAATAACTGTGGAGCTGGAATCAACACAGGCATCAAATCCTTGCTAGCTGTTGAAATTCCCATGTTCTGCCAAACGTAAAATTCCCTCTATGTTCATTTGAGTGATGCCATGTAATCACTGTACAAGTTCGTTTTCAGGAAAATTGTTTGGATGAATCAGAAACACACTGCAATAACAAGATCCTGGTCACAGGCCCCATGATTGTCTTGATGGAGGTAAGGTGTATTCCAAGGATGGACTAAGAATTGCCACAAGGGATTTTCTGGCTGATCCATAGTCCATCACTTGCAGAGTGGAAACCACTACACGTCTTGTTGATAGGGTCCATTAAAAGATGCACGAGACATAAGGATTACTGGAACCAACCTACCCACTGGGGTCTAAATATGACAGTAGTTGGTTATCCCCTTCTTGATGTGTTTCACTAACTTCCAGAGAACTGATGTTGTTGGTGATCCTGAATGGACCAACTCATGATTAAACCACTATAGTAGGTAGAAAGTGTACACAGTTATGGAACACTTTACAAAGTGCTGTAGTTCACTTTGCTTTCAACAAACGACTTCCCCAAGTCTCTTGATTTCATCAGATCATAACAATGCTCCTTTAATCTGTCACAAGTTCTACCAGTTTCCAAAGATATTTCGTAAAGAGCACAAGAGGATAATTATTTGGATGAACCAAAAACATTCTGCAATAAGAAGTTCCTGGTCACAGCAACATTTTGTCGTGATGCAGGCAAGTTCTAGTATTCCAAGAATAGACTAATCACACAGTTACCCAGTCTTTGTGGATCGGGAAAGACAAATGTAATGATCTGGTAAAAGTAGAATGAAAGACAAGATTTGGTGCAAAGATAAAAAAAAGCTGATCATCAAGTGGTTGGGAACTACTGCACTGTGGTAGATTGAAGCAAAAAAAAGTAAAATAGCTTTATTTTATGATGTTTGACCATAGAGGCGATCTCACCATCAATAATATTTAAAGAAAAGAAAGTTCACAGGACTTCAGAAATTAATTTTGACAAAAAAAAATGCAGTGCTGCTCTATTTGTAGCTGACCAGTTTATAAATATATGGAACATCTCTTCGTGTTAAAGTCATAATGCACCCAGCCTCACATTTAAAATGTAATATAGAATACAATTAATCCATGTAATAGTTGATGACCTCCTTAACTAAATCCTGCTCAATGTTTAACTAGATTTATTGTGTTCTAAATTAGAAATTTTAAACACATTATTTTTTGTATGATATGAAGTACGTACTATATCGGAGTCAGGTTAGTGGTACTTTCATACCACAGGAGTAGCTGTGCCTCCTTTAGTCACTGGATTACATAATGAAGGCAGGTTTTTAAACCAGTTTTATTTTTCGAAAGTAACAGGAAGTTGTCTTTTTTTTTTTTTTTTTTTAACCTCAACCCAACATAACGGAATTTTTTTATATAAGATAGAAATACCAAAACAGTCCAATGTTTTTGATTATGTTTGAGACTATTAAAACATTTTTGTTAATTACGAACTGTGGTTACTTTTCTTCGGGTCTTCTCCCATAAGCAATCAGTAGGTTGCTCACGTAGATAGTCTGGCCATCAGGCATTACCTTAATACCGTGTTTTGTCACCAACTTGGAACAGTCCTCGAAAAACTCAGCTCGCTTGTTGACAGGCATGTCCGATATTATGAATGATGGTAGAACCGATTCAAAGAAGGCTACATACAAAGATTAAAAAAAAATGCTGTTAACTAACAACCATGTTAAATAATATCAAACGGTCAAAAAAAGTATTTCAAGAGAACTTCTGAGTGAAAGAAAATATTTAATCCAGTACCGACATGACCTTTCGCCCAATCCCAGGTCACATTAGTGGTTGAGATGCTATTTATATTATCAAATTGTATAGTGCGAGAGGTCAGGCGTAATTTGCACAATTTTTTTTTTACGAGTTTTACAAATTGAGATTAGACTAAGGATTAATAACACGATATTATTTATCTTTAATACGAATTATTTATAATTACCATTCCTACTTGAAGAAACTTTTACCGTTCTCTCATTGGGTGCACACTTTTAGTGTTATTACATATAGAGACAGGCATGATAAACCTCCACAAAACAGGAAACCGTTCATAAAAGTAACACGGGCCTTTCTTTTTGATTAAGCCGTACTTGCATTGGGACTGGATCAGCCTATTGTTGTACTGCCCATCACCGTTATCAACTCATGTAATAACTTTCAGCAACTGATCTAGAGTTAGGAGACCGAAATGCTGATTTGGTTGAGTTTTTTACCTTACATGAAATACGACAGAATTAGTACCGTTATTGAGTTCGTTAATTACGCTAGAATTTACCACGTGTTCTTATACGTTATTACACGACCACCAACGTCTGTCCTCAGTGGTGGTGTACTCGTGGTAGCGACTCCTCGCTTCTAAATTTATTACTACATCCTAAAAGTTTGTTAGTCTAATATTCAAATATTGCATTATTCGTATATGATTAAAGCAGATAAAAAAGTCCAATATTTCAAAGCTATGAAACACTTATTTTCACAAAGATTATGTAATTTTTTTAAATTTGGGTGAAACACTATTTATTTAATTTTTTCATACTTACCCATATAAGCCTTCATATCAGGGTAAGGATTTTCAGAATATTGTAGGCGAACACGTATGGGTTCTAGATTACAGCGTTCTGCTAATTTTTTATATTCTTCACAGATGTCGTCCCAGTCTTGAGTTGGAGGAACTGCTTTATCAACATCCTAAAAGTATACAAAATTGTAGTAAATACAAAATAAAGTTTAAATCTTTAAAAGAACAGACTTTCGTAAACAATAATCTAAAAAAATAACAAATTAGCACTCTACGACAGTCTCCACAAAGTTTACTCTGAACTAGACACTTGCAGCCCATTTCAACGTTGTTCATGATTTATAAAAAATACATTGTATCTTGTATTAAGTGTGTAAACAATTAGCAGAGTAATTAGTTATTGGTTGATTTACCACCACGTGACTTTACCGGTTAAGTGAACTAGCGGTTTTCGATATTCCGAGTTATATCTTTTGTCAAAAGAGGGCGCTTAATGTATTAGAAAACTACTTCTGAAAAAGTCACTGAACGCGGGTTGTTTTAACTGTTATTCCTCTTTCGGCTCGTGCTCAATAACACTGATGAAATCAGAGAGTAAAAAAACGTTTGTTGTTAAGTTCAAGATTATGCAATGGGCAATCTGTGCTGTGCTTACAACTGGTATTGAATCTTGTTTGTCTTTTTAGCGTTACAAGCATTCAGACTTACCGTTGAGTTACTGGGGGACTAGGAAAACTAAGGAACACATTATATGCGATACATGTATTTACAAAAACCTGCGACTTCATTAAAATGCACCAAATTAATCTAATTAAAAATTACTCATACAATAAAAATTTGCAAGTTGATTCAGACTTTGCTGTAATATAATTTTTGAAAAAATTTGATGGGTGTTTGTTTTCCAAACGAAGTTAGTTTTAAAAAGGGTATTTTTTTACTAAAATTATTAATTTTTTTTTATATGAAAAATGAGAGGGGGGGGGGAGTAAAAATAATGGACCATTTTGAGCTCCATACTGCGGAATTTATCCTAACAACGATAAACACTAGTGTATTTCTTTCGTTTCTAAGTAAAATAACTCCGTGGGGCACTTTATAATTAGAATTTGATAATAACACGTAAATGTTTAGTAACTGTACTAAATATGATAAACAGTTTGGATGATTTAACATTTAAATGTACATCATTTTTACTACACTGATAACACCTTACATCATCCTACGTTATCATTAAATATTATCGATTGTGATGAAACAAAATGGCGGCCATAAAAATCACCTTTAAAATGTCGGAATATTAAAAATTACCATTTCACAGTATTGGCTGAACAAAACTAAAACCTACTGTATTTATAAAGCTGCCTAAATCGCTATATATACGTGTTTATGGAATGTATCAAAATTTCACTATTAAAGCGAATTTTAATTTAAGTAAGTATGTAAATTAGTTTTCCAGACAAGCCTACAAAAACATGGTAGACGTTATCACGCCAATTCTTTCACAGAACTCTTCCGTCCCAATAGGTCGACGTACTGTTCTAAACTACTTATTGTACAGTATAGAAATGGCGATTCCTGTCGTTTTGATAAAAGATCAAATCATTCCAAATTCTGGTCGGATAAGAAGTACGTGTTTTTCTCACAGGATTTCTGAGTGAATACACACACACATCAAAATGCAAATCACGTACGGGTATGTCAGGTATTCCTAATTTAGTTTATATAGAAGTGAACTAGTGTACAACTCGCGTCTCAAATCCATAACTGGCCGATTGCGCAGTTCCTAAAAGTCCAGAGAAAATTTGATTATGGGATAAAAATTGAGAGAATATTTTCTGTTAACTTTAAACACACGTTCGTGGAGTTCTAAGGTAAAAACTATAACAGTGGGTACTAAAGGAAAGGATGATACAAATACATAAACAAGAATGTAAAAATTGTTATTAACCGCAAGGAGATGGGCTGGATCTTACTGTTTAACCTGTCCCTATTAACCGCAAGGAGATGGGCTGGATCTTACTGTTTAACCTGTCCCCATTAACCGCAAGGAGATGCGCTGGATCTTATTGTTTAACTTGTCCCTATTAACCGCAAGGAGATGCGCTGGATCTTACTGTTTAACTTGTCCACTTCCACAGTTGTGAATTATACTATTCTAAACAGCTTGTAATTCGTGATAAGTAAAATGATGGATGTAAAAGCTGTAATATTTATGTTTAAAATTACATTTGGCTATTTTTTTTTTTTTTATCATATTATGAACGTAGTTTGATTATAGGTTGTTATTATTTTTGCTAAGATCAACACGGAAGCGTTCCAAATATAAACTCTGAGATGAAGTGTATAAATGCCAATGTTCGTCTAACTCAATGTTCTGATACCAAATTTATGAACTCATCAATTATCATTAGATATAAGAATGTATTAACAATATTACAGGCAGCAATGGACGGCAGTAGGACACTAAACACGAAATACTGGTTAGCTGAACATAAAAACATCACTAAATAAAAATAGAAGAACCAGTTTGATTGAGGAGTGTTGAATGAAACCTTTCCATTCAAAGAAGTCGACAAATGAAAGGACCTTTTATTTCTTCGCTGTATTCTAATATTGTTTAGAAAAAAGGTTATTGTCATGATCCTCCTGCATAGTGTTTCCAAAACATTGTTCACTCTACCGACCAGTAAAATCTTTGTAAAAGGCTTGACCATTAGAAGTATTTAACCTACAAATGTACATCGGATTGTAAAAGGTTTTAGAGGATTTAGAATCTTTATAATACGAATATCTGTTTAGACAGATCTTTTAATTATCCGTTCTTATATATTTCTTTCTTTCCCTATCCCCATCTTCTGATGTGGACTAGTTAGTGGTTGTGGACCACCGGGCAACAATCCATATTTGATGCATTATACAGCAAGTTAAATGGAATCCAAGAAGTTTGTAAAATATTGCCGATAGAGGTTTTGTTTAATATTACCTTGATGTAAGAAGACCATTTCTCTGAAGCTGCCATTTCTCTGTATACTTTAAAGGCAGGATCGGTGGCTACAGAGATGAAACTGTACTCTCCTCCTGGCTGAAGGACATCGTGCAGCCTTGTGAATAACTCCTTAAAGTCTCTCACGTAATTAAATGCGAAAAAAGAAAACACTTTTGCAAATTTTCCTTTCCACTCCGTGGGAAGCCTGTAAACAAATAAACAGAATCAGATACCATCCCTTTCCACTCCGTGGGAAGCCTGTAAACAAATAAACAGAATCAGATACCATCCCTTTCCACTCCGTGGGAAGCCTGTAAACAAATAAAACAGAATCAGATACCATCCCTTTCCAGTCCGTGGGAAGCCTGTAAACAAATAAACAGAATCAGATACTATCCCTTTCCACTCAGTGGGAAGCCTGTAAACAAATAAACAGAATCAGATACTATCCCTTTCCAGTTTTCTTTCCCATTTTTACGCCACCAGGTTTAAATAAGCGTGTAGTAATTATTGTTTAATGCAGATCGATTACTAGTAACCTTTTAATCTACCAGACCTGAAAACGTGAAATATGTAATCAGATTTGCTAATTATTTCAACGAGTTTGTTTGAATTTATATTATACACCCATAAACTTACTGCTGAGCCCTAAAGTCAAACAAACTCGTTTTGAAATGTAGTCTTTCCCCAATGGCTCAGCAGTAAGTTTATGGGTGTATAATATAAAGTCAAACAAACTCGTTTTGAAATGTACTCTTTCCCCCAATGGCTCAGCAGTAAGTTTATGGGTGTATAATATAAAGTCAAACAAACTCGTTTTGAAATGTACTCTTTTCCCCAATTGTGTGTGTGTGTAATTTATCTATGTAAAATTAAAGAAATAATCTATACACATTCTGACATTGGGATTATGTGTATAATTTTGTTTAAGGGCCAGACTGTTTTCGATTACCCAGAGTTCCTTCTCTTTGTTTTATGATATGTTACCACCATACTAGTTCCATTACCAGTTTTAGTCATCTGAGAAAAATTGTAACAGATTGTATTGGGTGACGTTTTATAGAGGACTATTAGGTGATGGGTTGATGACTGACTAAACAGATTATATCGGGTGACATTTTGAAATGTACTCTTTCCTCCAATGGCTCAGCAGTAAGTTTATGGGTGTATAATACACACACACATACATAAACCGTAAGGTTTAACCAAATCTTTCCAGGATTGTGTTAGTTTTCTTATAAAAAAGGTTGGTGTATTCCTGTAAATAAAATTGTGTAAAAAGTCTCAGTCTCTTGACAAAATTTTTAACCAAATTCGGAAAGAAAGAAAACTCACTCGCCCATGAAGTCTTGAACCTTGTACTCAATTTGCTCGTGTGGATAATGTTTTTCTCCATATTCCACCATCTCTGCGAATGAGTCACTGGCTAAGATTTTCGAAAATCTTTTGCATTTTGGAAGCAGTAACTCTCTAGTAGCCCGGCCTTGTCCACAGCCAATGTCCAGAACAATGTCATCAGGTGACCATGTCATTAATTCTGCATGCTCTGTTACTGTAGATTCAATCCATCCATAGTTCCTTCTTGGTTTGAAATCCTCAAAAAGTTGAGCATCTGGATTCATCTTGCACGATTCTCCTTTGAAATCCGATATTAAACTGACATTAGTATAGAATAACAAACAAACAAAACACTAATACAAGTACACGAGTGTTGAAAACACTATTTTTTTTATTAAACGTGTTGTGGCGAGCATTTTAAATAAACTGTATTTTATTTCAATATTAAATCTGATGCCTTCCTTAAGTCGTTCAAATAAATATATTCCTTATCGAAACTTTTTTTGTTACATTTTAGATTAAAATCACTATTATTATTACTATTATACAGTGTTGTTAGCACCCTAAAACAGTAAATAGCTAACAAAACCTTACAGATGTTTGTCGGTTTTTCACTGAAATATTTTCATGTTGTTTTTTTGACATTTGATTATTATTTTTCTAGGGCTCTTGAATCCAGCTGACTAGTGTCGGCTAACAATACGAAGAATTAAATTGTGGCGGAATGCTACAAATTCTTCAAAATACCTATAGAATGATAGGTTTCTTTTTCGCGAGTGTAAAACACTTAAATACACCAGTTCGATTTTCGATACCTCACTACTATAAAGGCTTCGTTTGGTCCGATATTTCAGGTCTTCCTCCTTGCCCTGAAAAGGACTGACAGACGGCCTCCTCCCCCACCCAAAATTTTTAGCCCTAGTACTTTATCCCACCCGACGCATCCTCGAAGGCGCCGCTGCCTGATTTTCTAAGCTTAATGTATGCTCCATACCCGGTCAAACCAAATCCAGGACAAACTATAGTACTCACGAATATGTACCAAGCAGCGGGGTTGAAGAGAAGCGGGGGAAAAAAAAAGCTTCTGGACACCCCTGGTTGTCTTCAAACAAGTTGAGGTTGAAAGGACGTAATCAAAATTACCACCCAGAGTATAAGTAAGTAATGTTTCATTGGTGGTAGTGTCCAGGGTCACTAATGAGGAGTGGAATTCTCCAAAACTAGTCTGTCTCACAGACACACCCCCTATGAAAGAATAGACAATTCCAAGCTTTAACTTGTTGTTGAGCAGATGTTTAAACAACTCTATTCAACTACGTACCAGCTGCCTAGTGTCGGCTAACAATACGAAGAATTAAATTGTGGCGGATTGCTACAAGTTCTTCAAATACCTATAGAATGATGGGTTTCTTTTTTGTGAGTGTAAAACTCTTAAATACACCATTTCGATAGACAAAATAATTGGAATAAAAACTCAAAGTTGTAGAGCAATATTGAAACCCGTGTTACTGTTAGGAGTGAAACTGGAAATATGGTACACCCAACACAAATGGCCAGGTGGATAAGGCGCTAGACTCATAAT